GTAATCTTTACCTTTAAGCTCTCTCCCGCGGCTTTTAACAAGATCTTTCTGCTTAAAGTGCTCAAATTTAGCCACGATGGGACGAGGTCTTCTGCTGTCTGTTCTCCTGGCTCCAAGGCGATGTACCCGATGAAAGGTGATGTTCCTCACCGTTTCCTCCGGTACCTTCATGTGAGTGTGGAGAAAGTTCTTGATGGTTTGTTCACAATCCTCCGCTTCTCCTCCGGTCTGCTCTGGTAGGCCTGCGAACACCAGGTTATCTCTCATGCTGCGTGATTGGAGATCCAGAACCGTCTCCTTTAGAGCTTTATTGTCCTGGGAGATCCGATCTAATCCTTTAGTTAAGGAGGAAACCGATTCCCGCAGAGACGCGTTCTCAGCCGCGAGACGTTCCACCTGCTCCTGGCTAAACTCCAGAGATGTTCGGAGGTCCTGGAACTCCTTGTGAAGCACCTCAAGCAGGTGGAGTCGTCCCTCAAATCCCAGAAGCCGTTTATCTATGGACTGTAGTAGATCTAAGACATCCTTGTGGGGAGATGAGGCCTCGGGCGCTGGGACGTAATTTTGGGGGGGGACGGGTGGGACATGTCCCCCCCCCACTTTTTCAAAAGGCAGTTTCGGTCCCCTTCACTTTTTTCCATCCAAAAACAATATTACGCTCCATTAAATGGATTTGATTGAGCACTAGGACCGAAACGGAAACCGGTTTCCTATTAGACCCACCCAAAAGCTAATCTATTGGCTCTGCTGATACTTGCTAACGTATTATTGGCTGTTGCTGCTGTCACTCCAAGTTGTAAACAGAACGTGCTCACGTTGTTTTGCTAGTTTGGAGCCGCTAGGGAACACCGGTACTGAGTCACATCGTCAACTAGACGCTGTGTAATATCAGAGCTCAGCTCAGCTTCCATTATATAACATTTGAATAAGTGTTCATTTATGACTCTTTGGTAGTTATGCACAGCCAGGCGGCAGCATGTCAAGAAACGAAAGTGGATATAAGAGACTTCTTTCAAAGTCAAAACGTAAGTTGGAACATGTGACACCCCTGCATTAAGCTCAGACTCACCTCCTCCTTCACACACATAGTCAAAACTAACTTTTACAAACTCATCTCCTCCACATAACTGACTCCTCAGACACAATTTATTCGTATTATTATAATTATTATTAATTATTATTATTATTACTATTATCATCATGATTATTATTACTAGTAGTAGTAGTAGTAGAAGTGTAACTTCAAAACTTTTATCATTTAACTTTATTGTAAACTTATCTATTGCAATGTATATTTTCACATTAAAAAGCTCTGAAAAATGAACAGTATCATCGTCAACAGATTTTTTAAGCTTAATGTCTAAGATGTACACTTTTCATTAGATTTATCTTATTTTTTCCATTTATTTTTTGTGTGTTGAAATGCAACAACTGTTTAAACACTTTTAAGGGAAAAAACATATTTAATATGTTTTTATACACTCAAATTGGTAATGAATAATTTACACATTATATTAATAATAATTGTGAATCATACTAGAACCATCCTGTAAATATTTCTGTTTGTTCCATTCCAAAATCTCCCACTGTTTATAGTTCATGCATCTTTTTTTCAGGTGATTGACAGAGATGCAGGAGGAGAGACCGGTGAAGGTACAGCAGGAGAGGCTGTAGGAGATGGAGGACGAGAGCCTGGAGGAGATGGAGCAGAGGCTGGAGGCTCACAGGTGAGGTTGAAATAATGAAGATACGATAGACATAAAATTGATCATTGTGACAAATGTTAGGGTGATGATCATGTGTAAAACATTAGTTCAGCATGTCCTCTAACACAGCAAATGAAATAACGGCCAGATCTCAGGAGGGACCGTTTATGTATAAATACTTTTTATACTTTTGACTAGGCCTGGGAAAGTAACAAATTTTGCTGGATGATATTTTGTCCAACAAATTGTTGATGATAAACGATATCATTGTCAACATTATCTAGACCAAAATAACCACTAATATAATGTTAATATATCATAATAATGCAAGTACACCCTTTAAAATGCAACAAATAAACCTTCATTTAACATTGAAATGTCCAGAACCAGAACTTCTAAATGAATAAAAATAACAAACAAAAATTAAATAAAAAAAAGAATCTCACTCCCTGTTAGAAAATGTTGCACCAAAAACAATAAAAAAAGACCCAAAACAATAAATACAATGGCCTATCCATTGTCAACAGCCAAAACTGCACTTCAATAATGATAATAAATATTAATAATAATAGAGTTGTAAATTTTTTAACTTTGATATATATATATATATATATACATATATATATATATATATATATATATATATATATATGTATATATATATATATATATATATATATATATATATATTGAGGATGGAAAAATTATTGAGATGGGCATGTGACGTGTCAAAGGGTCTTTACATAACACCCCCCATCCCAAATCCGCACAAGCCTGCTGTGTCCCCCCCACTTCTGAAATCAAAATTTCGTCCCTGCTCGGGCGAGTCCCGGGGACGGCTCCTCTTGGTCAACAGCGTTTCCGCCTCAGCTGCTGCTGCTTTCTTCGGTCCCATGACAAAAAAACTCAAAAACCTCGTCAATATATGTTTGCAAATTTTCCAGATTTTCTCCTCTTACCTCCAGGTTGAGTGAGTTATATTTACCAGATTTATTAATTTTTTTGCGTTGTCAGTGAGTAAATTAGGCGAAAATCTGTCTTAATTGTTTGTGGAAGTTGATTAACAAGCTGCCATCTGCTTCAAGACGCCGCCGTGTGTCCGGTGATCGGGCCGTCAGCGCATGCGCATGCTCCTTCATGTTCCTTTCGGCCAACAAGCCCTTCTCCACCAGCCGGTCACACAACGCCGCCTTTAAGTCCACCTTGCGAGCATCGTATGACACCGCAACATCATAATAACTGGCAATAATGAGCAGGTTGGCCTTGGTGCAACTGTCCAACTGGGCCCAAGAAGGAGACTCCACAAAACGATCAATGGAAAAATCCATAAGCACAGAAACACACACACACACACACACACACACACACACACACTTCCCCCCACACACAAAACAAAACCACCAACCAGACAAAAAACGGCAACCAAAACGCCAGAAAAAAAAGGACAAGCCCCAAATTAATGTTACAACCCGTCTAGGATGGCCAGGCTGTAACATCAAAATGGTTCCATCTTCCACCAATTCCAAACCACCACACCAGAATTCCGAGTACAATAATTTATTCACAAGATCAAGGTAATGAACTAAGGACGAGGGAGGATTAATAACTCAGGGTGAACCAATGCCTAAAACAATAAACAAAACACCTCTAACTTCAGAATGACAACTGACCTGCAAACTTAAAGGAAATAACTGACAACCAAACTTACCTCCCTGACTATCCAAAACAGGAGAAAACAGGAATGCAAAGAAAAAAGGCGGTTCACCCCTACAGAATCCTCGAATGGCAGGTACTAGTCACAAAAGCACAAAGGCATCACACAAACACAGAGCATCAAGTGGTGGTTGATTGGAATTAGTGGAGAATGAAGAACACAGCTGCATCTCATCAAGCTCCTTTTAACAGCTTTGCCCCAGCTGATCTTCCAATCCAAACGTCCCCTGGCCAACATCCACCAATCCTAGGAGGGCGCTTGCACGCTCAAAACAACACTAGAAATACAAATAGTATAAAAATAAAAGAAATAATGTTCCTTATGACCGTGGTCATAACACAGCGAATGGGTTAGAGGTTGCAAAATGTACACTTGCCTCCGCCCTGATGAAGACCTCAAAGCTGCCCTCCTGAAGCCTGTGCATCTTCACCTGTGCATCCCAATCTCCGTCCAAAGCATCACTGCTTCCTCCACGGTCTCTCTTACCAGCCCCCGACCCAGCCAAATGAACAGTCATGCTAGTCTTTCCCGCTCCCTTCTTCCCCATCCACCTCCACCAATGAGGCCAATGCAGAGTGAAGTCGGGCCACCGTCTTACCGCGCCCATACAGACCGTCGGCCGACCACCCGAACAACCCCCTCAGCCAACGCAAATCTGGAGCACAAGCCACAACCCGATGTTCACTCTGCCGGGATCCTCCTCCGGCTCTCTGTCTCTGTTTGCTCAGGTTTCTTGCAGCATTTGTGACTTTTACATCCCCGGCTCTCTAGGAGAGATGAGGAGGGGAGTAATAAAAGTAGTGCGTGGATTTAATAATAAACAAAGTGCTGTGTCGCTTAAAAACAAGGGTTTTATTACAAAACGAATATTTAAAACAACATAAGGAGTGTCTTTGTAAAAAAAACAAGAGCTTATTTACAAAACGGGAGAACGAAAAGCGCCACCCCAGAAGGGGGTGGGGAGAAAATAACAGAGAATATTAATATTTACAACAAAGGGGAGATCCTAAATTCAAAGTCAAAATGCCGGTCCGAAGTCAAATAGCCAAACAATCTATTCCTGAATCCAAATCCAAATGAGTTATTTACCAAAGATGAATGAGCGAACCGAATGTTACCAAAAGAGCGAACCGAGGAGAAGAGAATAGCATAAACTGTTCCCAGTCTACACTATCCTTGACCTTCTCAAAGAACTGATGGCTGAAACCAGCTTTTAACAGCTGGTAAGTGATCAGCCATGATTTGATCCAGCTGAGCACCAGGAGACGGGCGAGGCAGAAGCCACTGAGGCCATCTTGTGGCCGAAAAGAGGCACGGCACGTAACCCCCCCCCCCCCCAAGAGAATAAATGGGAGTGTAAAAAAATAAAGAGCCAACATTTATTCAAAAGAACCGAGGTCTCCCGCTATCTAAACACACAAACAAAACCCTATCCAACTTCCCTGGATCACAGAAGGCGGGCAGAGTAAACAAACTATCACGCAACGCCGATCCTCAGCGCTGCGGAGTGTTCCCGAGATGTCTGGTTTACAGACAACACTAGCCTTGTGTGGGATCAGACACCTAAAAACAAAACCTACAAGGGAGCCTCATTATTAAACTGCATAACGAAGAGGTCATGATGAGGTTGACAGAGCCCTTCTCGTGGCGAATCTCCGGGTTGGCTTCCTGGAGAAGGAGGGCCCAACACATCAGCCGCTGGCCAGTCTAGAGGGTCGAGTCTGAAAGAAATAGGCGTCAATAAATTGTTTTTACTCAGACAGGATAAATTTTGCAGAGCCTATCATAGGGCTATAGTTCCCTTTTACAAAGGTTGAAGAGAGCAGGAGCGCTCGGTTGAATTTCCAAGAGGAGCAGCAAATGGATCAAGCCCGGTGTCATCCTCCAGGATGAGGACAGCTCCAGCCTCTTCTTGGCTGGCGTAGTCTTCCAGCTTGAAAGGTCGGGTGAGATTTTGAGCAACTAGAACGGGAGAACAGAGGTTTCGCAGGGGCACAAAAACAGCTTGACATCTCAGGGTCCCTGAGAAATGAATGCGAGGACTCAACACGTTTTTCAGAGGTTGAGCCACAACAGAGAAGGTTCCCTCGAGCAAAACGGGACGTCAGACGTATATCTGTTTTCTGAACATCAGCCAACGATTTACGAGAAACAGGCAAAACCACTCGAGGACCTCTAGAGGCCAGGTCAGGCGTTTTTATAGCCGGACCTGGTCGGGTGACGTCATCAGCTAGCAGCGGGGACACTGAATCACCAAGGGACTTTTCTGAGTTTTTCTTACGCTCAGCACGGGTTATGACAGGCAGTAAATCTGAGTCGGCACAGGTTTCTGGAGGAGAGATGAGCTCAGGAGGAGGTAAAACTAATCCACCAGCAGCGTCGTTTCCCAAAATCAGGTCTACTCCCTGGATTGGCAACTCATCTAAAATGGCTACCCTTAGGTCGCCAGTAACCAAAGGGCAGGACAGGTGAATATAATGAACCTCCGCTGGAACAGAGCTCATGTCAATACCCCGCCACAACACAGAAGAACCAGCTCGACTGGTTACAGAAAACAGTAACATACTCCATTTAATTAGGGTCTGGGAAGCACCGGTATCTCTTAAAATCACCACTTCCTGGTTAATATGACTGCTTAACAAAGACACCACTCCAGCAGACAAAAACGGCTTAAAACCCAAGTAAGGGGTTTCACAGTTATCCAACCTGTTTGAGATAACAGCACACGCAGCGACGGGCTTTGGTGGAGGTGGTTTCACGCTCCTCCGGTTTTTCCACTGGAGACGAAAACAATCCCTAATGAAATGACCTTTTTGTGACAATAAAAACATTCCGGAAGGTCACTAGAGTCAGAGGAGGTGTCAGAGGGTCTCCTACGTCGACCGGGGTCAGCTCTGGACTCCCAAGACCAATGTGTTAGCTTGAACTCATCTGCTAGCTGTGCAGCAGCCGAAAGAGTTGAGACCTTCTGTTCGTCTAGGTACAAAACAAGACGCTCAGGCACGTGTCTTTTAAACTCCTCCACCATAATTAGCTCTTTCAGATCTGCTAAGGAGTCTATCCCTGAAGCAGAGCGCCATTTTTCAAAGAGGACTGATTTCTCATGAGCATATTCAACATAAGTCTGGTTGGGCCGAGGTTTTTCAAAACGAAAGCGCTGACGATAAGCCTCAGGAACAAGTTTGTAGGCACTTAACATGGCGGCTTTTACACAGTCATAATTAGAACTGTCCATTAGAGACAGAGCCGAAATTACCTAAGGGCCTTACCTGAGAGTCTGCACTGCAAAAGCAACGACCACACCTCACGAGGCCACTGGAGAGTCACCGCAATCCGCTTGAAAGCAGGAAAATACCCATTCACTTCAGTCTCTCGGAAGGGCGGAAGAAGCGAAATACACTTGGAGACATCAAATGCGGGCGGCAACGAGGTGGCAGCCGAAGGAGACATGGCTTCTCGGGACAGTCCAGGCTGAGACGGAGACGAGGCCGCTGGGTGATCAGCGGTGAAGGGGTAGCTCACGGAGGAAGTAGCTTTCACAGTGGCTAATTGTAGCTCGAGCTGCCGGAGGCGAACCTTGGTGTCCATACGTTTCAAACCCAGTTCATGGCGTCGCTCATGAGCTCTCTCCTCTGCCTGGATCTTCAGGCGAGCCAAGCGTAGCTTTATCCGAGCTCCGGTTAGTGGTGAATGGAGAGGACTTGCTCCAGACGAATCAGATTCCTGCGATGAACATTCAGCGGAAGAAGGCGGAGCTGAATCGAGGGTCTCCCTCTTATGATCGAGCCGGCCCGTTTTCTCATCTGAGGGTGGCGGAGACACACCAAGAGGGGACGGCGAAGGGAGGATTCCCTGGGTCTCCAAATAGTCCACCACCAATTTTCGAAGAGCAACCTTGGTGAGCTGCTTCGGAAGGGGGAGACTGAAATGGGCGGCAACCTGCTGCAGATCAGCTTTGCGGCAACTCTCCAGAAGCCGGTGCGAAGAAACCGCCACAAATGTGTGCAGGTCGAAGGTTGCCATGCTCCGCCTCTAAGGGACACAAACACAATGTTAATATCTTTACACACACTTAAATTTGTCGGGATAAGATGGTAAATAAAGAAAAATCCCGGATGAGCCCCCACGTTATTACGTCCCCGGCTCTCTAGGAGAGATGAGGAGGGGAGTAATAAAAGTAGTGCGTGGATTTAATAATAAACAAAGTGCTGTGTCGCTTAAAAACAAGGGTTTTATTACAAAACAAATATTTACAACAACAAAAATAGTCTCTTAGTACAAAAAACAAAAGGAGCTTATTTACAAAACGGGAGAATGAAAAGCGCCACCCCAGAAGGGGGTGGGGAGAAAATAACCGAGAATATTAATATTTACAACAAAGGGGAGATCCTAAATTCAAAGTCAAAATGCCAGTCCGAAGTCAAATAGCCAAACAATCTATTCCTGAATCCAAATCCAAACGAGTTATTTACCAAAGACGAACGAGCGAACCGAATGTTACCAAAAGAGCGAACCGAGGAGAAGAGAATAGCATAAACTGTTCCCAGTCTACACTATCCTTGACCTTCTCAAAGAACTGATGGCTGAAAGCAGCTTTTAACAGCTGGTAAGTGATCAGCCATGATTTGATCCAGCTGAGCACCAGGAGACGGGCGAAGCAGAAACCACTGAGGCCATCTTGTGGCCGAAAAGGGGCATGGCACATAACAGTGACTCACATCAGCAGTTTTGTGCAATTGCATTTTCTCGTTTGTGCATGTGGGAAGGACAAACAAATTAGTTATTCTCTAAATGAGCTGGATTAAATCAAATCAATCAATCAAAGATACTTTATTAATCCCAGAGGGAAATTAGAGTTTCAGTACACACAATTCAGAGATCAGACATACATGGGCAAGACACATGACAAGAATTGGTGACTGTGGTCATTCGCAACCCTGAGTCGCGCTCCCTTAATAGAAATAAGAGGGGTTACATGAGGACTGGTTCAGGTGGAGGCAAAAAAAAGGCACTTCAAAGTTACCCTCCCACCAGGAGGGCAGCTTTGCTCTGCAAGAAAACACCTCAGAAAGAGATATGCAACAGACTTCAGACAACATACAATAAGTGTCCACTAGGAGGGGTGGTGGGTTGGGACTATCTCAACTTTAGTTCCTGCAGCCACGATGAAGCAGCGCATGTCACCTCAGTGTGGATGGGGGGGATCATTGAGGGTTGGAGGGTTGCAGTGACCCTGGACGCATCGGCGGCCTTCCCGCAGTCCCGCCCAGGCTGGGAAAGGAGGCAGAGTTGAGTCTCCATAGCGACAGCACATTCCACATATCTTCTGAGGGGGGAGTTTTCGTTGTAGCCTTGCAGGCTCAAGGACGCCAGATTCTGATTAGAAATTGTTTTGGGGCCAGACAGAGATAATTTCCTCTCTGTCTTACAGTTTGTTGGTCCTCAACCTCTCAGAATCCCAATAGTGGAAGTTAATCCATCCCATTCCATGCTGATTCGTCCACTCTCTCTTTGATGGCATCCATCTTTTGTGCCAAAGAATTAATCTCCGCCAAAGTCCCAAGCTTACGATTCATCGCGACAATTATTTGAGTCTGTGAATTCACAGCGCGGTGCAAACCATCTCTGAGCTCCGGGATCAAGCCAATATTCCTCGACAGCTCGTTAATTTTCCGGTAAGCCAGGTAGCCTCCAAGGCCAATGAGCAGGAAACCTGACACCAACACCATGAATATCCACACATCTTCAGAGTCCTCCACAGACAGCTGAGATAAACAGATCAAGTTCCACTGTTTCCAGGAGTCCATGATATGTCCAACTGGGTCTGTACCAGCAGGACATCTGGGAGCCCCTTCTCCCGTTCTCATCATTGAAAAAATTTTATCAATCACTTTGAGAGACCAGCTGACGAGATCCATTTAAATGTATTTCAGTTCCCAGAAAAATGCAGAAGCAGCCATGCACCCAGCACCCAGAGACAGACAAAGGCCTTGAGGATAAGATATGGAGGAGAGGAGGAAAAAAAGCGTCTGCACTCACCAAGAGCCGGAAGAAGAATGGTGCAAAATCATTAGAGCAGAAATTCCACATTTTGTAACTTGCTGTAAATCATTTATGTAACTTCAATGAAGAATGTGTGAAGTGTAATAGTAGTTTTGCATCTGTGAGTGACAGTAAAATAGGCACAAGTTATTTTTTCATACACAAGTATGTAGACGTGTCTTGCACCATTTGTTTTGGATCAACTGGGCCAAAACTGTAACATAAGAATTGTTTTATGTGTGACTCAGCGAATACAATTTGTGTACTTGTACCAAAAATTCTGAATAGGTGAAGCAGTTGTTTTGTATCTGTGAAAGATAGAAATTTTCTCTGTGATTTCAAGTTCCCAGATATGAGACAAATATTTTTTGCACCATATCCTTTGGATATATTGAGGCAAAACTGTAACTGTAGTTTTTTTTTTAAATGTGTGGCTCAAAATGTGCAAATTTGTGTACTTGTACCTATGATTTTGAGTAAGTGTAGCTGTTGTTTTTTACCTGTGATAAAAAGACAAATGTTATTGCACCACATTTACCTTAAAGCCAGAAAGAAAACAAACTTTTACATAGTGCCTCTCAAGAAAAAAAATCTCGAGGCGCTTTGCTGCTAAATGAAATATCCGGAACCTTCCTTGGACATCATTCTAAAATTATTCTTTTATTTTATCTTTTTATTTGTTTTATTATTACTTTTTTTTTCATCCTACGATTCTAAATGACACTTCTGGAAATAGATGGGCGTGACTTTAGGCTCCCTTTGTAGCGGTCACACATTATAGCGTGACAACTGCAAATTAATTATGACCAATAAGATGTGATGATTCCATATAAATATGAAATATAAACCTGATTGATCTTTGAATGTTTAATCAGAAGATTATTGTTACTTTTACTTGTTCATGGATCATGAACACACTTTGTAGTAATTCAGACAAACTCAGGTATATAGTTAAAAAGGAAATTTTTCTGGAGTTGCTCCGGGTGAGAGGCGGAGGGCTGGGGTTGGCTTTTTGTTAGCTCCAAGACTCTCTGCCTGTGTGTTGGGGTTTACCCCGGGGGACGAGAGGGTAGCTTCCCTGCACCTTCGGGTCGGGGAATGGGTCCTGACTGTTGTTTGTGCTTATGAGCCAAATATCAGTTCAGAGTACCCACCCTTTTTGGAGTTCCTGGGGACTCCATTGTCCTGCTGGGGGACTTCAATGCTCACGTGGGCAATAACAGCATGACCTGGAGGGGTGTGATTGGGAGGAACGGCCCACCTGATCTGAACTCGAGTGGTGTTTCATTATTGGACTTCTGTGCAAGCCGCAGTTTGGCCATAACGAACACCATGTTCGAACATAAGGATGCTCATCGGTACACTTGGCACCAGGGCAGCCTAGGTCGCAGGTCGATGATAGACTTTGTAATCGTATCATCTGACCTGCGGCCGTATGTTTTGGACACCCGAGTGAAGAGAGGAGCGGAGCTGTCAACTGATCACCACCTGGTGGTGAGTTGGATCAGATGGCAGGGGAAGATGCCTCGTAGACCTGGCAGACCCAAACACATAGTGAGGATCTGCTGGGAATGCCTGGCAGGAGAACCTGTCAAGACGGTCTTCAACTCCCACCTCCGGCAGAGCTTTGACCGCGTCCCGAGAGCAATGGGGGACATTGACTCAGAGTGAGCCTTGTTCCACTCTGCGATTGTTGAGGCGGCTGTTGTTAGCTGTGGTCACAAGGTGGCCGGTGCCAGTCGTGGTGGCAAACCCCGTACCTGCTGGTGGACACCAGAGGTTCAGGGAGACGTCAGGCTGAAGAAGGAGGCCTACAGGGCGTGGCTGGTCTGTGGGTCTCCGGAGGCAGCAGACAGGTACCGGATAGCCAAATGGGGTGCAGCAGTGGCAGTTGCCAAGGCAAAATCTCGGGCGTGGGAGGAGTTTGGTGAGGCCATGGAGAAAGACTATTGATCGGCTCCAAAGAGGTTCTGGCAAACTGTCCGGCGCCTCACGAGAGGAAGGCCGCAACTCGCTCACACTGTTTACAGCGGGGATGGGGAGCTGCTGACGTCTGTCATGGCTGGTGGAAGGCGTCTAACCCAAGACATGCAGAATCAGCACGGGAGTCAGAAGGTAAGAAATAAAAGTCTTTTATTCACAAACGAGAACTAAAGGAGCACTGGAAAACCAGTGAGTGATGCCGTGGGCGAAAAGTCCAAAGTTCTAGCTCAGCGAGCTGTGGGGTATTGGGGAGCCAAGGTGGATGAGACTGGAGATCCAGCCGGGAGGGAGGTGAGGCAGCAGAGAGGGGAGATCCAGGAGCTGAGGAGGATGGGATGTGGAATCTGTAGTGCTTTAGCTGAATTGTGAAGGTGTGGTGAAAATCCATAACTGAAGTAATCATCCAGCTTCGAGTGGTGTCTCCATCTTTCTTTTAAACCCGAGCTCCAAATGATTAACTCGGCACAGCTGGTGCCCCTCTGCTCCTCACCTGTGGAACACAGGACCCCACAGATGGTTAATTGAGGAGGAGCACTCACCTCAACCCAAGAACGATTATCCCCCCCCCTCCCCCCCTCCCCCCACTCAACAGGCGCCTCCTGGTGTCCCAGCGATGGTCCTAGAGGCCTCAAAGTCAGAGATGAGGGAGGGATCCTCGATGAATGCCCGGGGGACCCACGAACGCTCCTCTGGGCCATACCCCTCCCAGTCCTCCAGGTATTGTACTCCCCGACCCCGGGGCCAGAGTCGAGGATCCGCCGAACCTGGTAGACCAGACCTCCTTTGTAGTACCGAGCAGGCGGAGGCGGGTCCGGGGTCGGACAGAGAGGGCTGGTGGCCACTGGTTTGACCAAGGACACATGAATAATCGCATGACTCCTGAGGGATCGCGGAAGCTCCAGACGAACGGTCACAGGACTGGGGACTGCCACAATCTTAAAAGGACCTAGGAACCTGGGAGCAAATTTCTTGGATGTGGCCTTAAAGGCAGGGTACGTAAGATTTAA